TGCTCAAAAGGGCACACCTTATCACATTTAATTAAGCAAGTAAAATATTGTGACAGTGAAGACGTGATTGGAGAATATAGGAAATGTAAATAGGTCAGGGCAGAATGAGAGGTTCCATAACTGTTTGGCACACGTTTGATCAAAGGATCAGCTTCACTTGTCTCTTTGACGAGTTCTAATATGGTGCTACGAATAGTAAAACTCACTGACGATGGCAGCGAAACGTCTGGGAATGTACCACGTCCACGTTCTAACTTTTGAAATAATTATGCATACAATGGACTCAGGACAAGGTGCGTTCCTCTAAGTCTTCCTATCAATATGACCAAGTTGCGAAAACAAGGTCAAACAATTTCTATATAACGAAAGGAGACTGCGACCACACAAATGGCCACATCATCTTGGTCTTCATATCTTGATTACACTTTTAAATTGCATCCTGAAGACTAGATCTTGGCAATCTTTTAGCTTCTTTAGCCTTAGCAGCAGTCTTCGTTTTTTGATAATATTCTGATACATTATACATATTTCTACTGTCCCTGTTCAAAGTCTCATTTACCACTGAAAGGCAATAAATGCATGAACATCGACATACCTATCATATCTAGCAGGAAAATATTAAATTAAGTCGTGTTTATATGTTCCTATACGCCATGATTTCATTCCTGCAACACATGTCTACATAGCTATATATACATGGAGGTCTTGTGCAGATAACCTGCCATATTCTGCTGCATAAACATGCTTTCTTTACAAACATTATTTTTATTTTGTTTAGATTCATCCTCTTTCGGCTCAGCTCCGGCTCAACCAGCACCCTTATTCACTATGATGAATAGCTGTCTCGGCGTAGGGGAAATAAGCAGTGTCAGTGCTGGTAGCAGCAATTTATCTCGTTTTTTTCCAGCTGAAAGTCCCTCCTGCACTGCCAGTGGGGTAAGTGGTGCCACCTCTGGTAATAACGGAAGTGTAGGTGGACCAATTCGTGTTGCTCGCACTCGATGCACATCTCTTTCGATTCCCACCGGGGCAGTTGGTATTGCAGGCATCACCTACCCCGGTAGGCCACTGGTCAGTGGTAGTTCTGCTTCAGCCCAACATCAAGTATCTGCTTTGGCTCATCAACTTCGGGTCGTCCAGCAAACAACAGGGTCCGTGCAGACTGTATCTGGGACCCAATCGCGTCAGTTCATCCTTACAACTGCCTCACCAACCTCGGCTGCTAGTACCGGGCCACAACCTCGACAAGCAAAACAACAACAGCAACAGACTCAACAGCAATCTACTCCCCCGTTGCAAATTCATCAGCCACATCAACAGCGCCTTTACCTTGCTACACAGTCTCCTCATACTACCTTTATTGATCCGTCTCAGCAACAGCAGGCACAACAAATAATTTTTTCCCAGCAGCAATCTGGCCAGCGACAAGGACTCGGAAAGTTCTCTGCAGCTAATCTATCTCTATCAACCGCTGGCCTTGGCCTTAGCGCAAGCCTTCCGGCCAACTCGAACCTACTACAAACTTGTCAATCACTTATGTTGCCCGAGATAAAGTCTCCTCTTACAAGTGGCTTTTCGCCTGTCCAGCTTATGCATCAACAACAACAGCATCCAACTGGCTCAATTTCATTCGGGCATGCTCAAGTAGCTGGAGTGCCATTAGGTCATAGGCAAAGAGCCCATCTTTTCAGCCCACAACAGGTTCAACAGCAACAGCAATTGCAACTTCATTCGCTTCATCAACGCAAGCAGAGCCTACAAACTCATCAACAGCATCGACAGCACTTTATTCAGCCTCAGCCTGTGTCACTTCCACCTCAGCATCAGCTCCAGCTTCATAATCAGCATCTTCATGCACAGTCACTCCAAAAACAGCAGCACATGCAGATATCACAAAATGAGGCCCCGAATGATTTTGATTTCGATGATTGCGACGTAAGATATGTTTTCTTACACATATTTTTTTGCGAATACATTTTTACAGTAGTTGATTAGATGCCCCAATCATTTTAAATTATGGAATGTAAGATCACCTAAAGTCCAAGCAAGCTTTTCACGTAACTGGATCAACGAGCAATGCTGGCTTAATACCATTACCATTTTTCGTATGTATTCACTTATTTTACAACTCCCTGAAAGGTGGTAAATCTGAGCTATAGTTTTGCTGGTGAGCCCATGAATTATTTATACTTAACTTATTCATTTAAAATAATGATCGTAATACCAAGGTTGTATGTGCTTAGGCTTATTTGCGTTCCTTAGTTATATTGCGTAAATGATGAAGATTTGGGTCTGACTGGATTCCTAATGATTGACAAGTTTTCTATTTTGTTTCGCATTTATAGGAATTTCTTATGTATTTCTTCCTTATTTCCAAGCATGAGTGCTATGTAGTTAATAT